CCTAGCATAATGTGTTAGAAACTTTTTTTTAGTGTGTAATAGATATTTGTTATATCCACATAAACAAAGACTGCAAGGTATAGTCCTTAGTCTCAAGAAGTTTAAGACTTGTTTGGAAGATAATACATTAAAAAAATCTGTAGTATAATAATAAATTGTCTAAGAAATCTAGAACTATATTTTCTCATATATATTCTATAATCTATGTTCTACACATGCCTGTACGGTATATTCTAGAAACCAGTGGTAACAGGACAACTGAAACAGGAGAGAACAGAGAGGTTATAGGAAGAAAGCGGAGGATCCCACCTAGAAGCACGTGTGCACGTTTGCGTATACACAGCACAGCAGAGGCGGCCAGGGGTCCTGTGCACCAGGTGTACTTCTAGTACAGAGGAACAGCTGCCACCCCACTTGGCTTATTTCCTAAACTCAGATCTAGATGTATTAGGTGTTCTCAAAGGAAGGCGTCCTTGTGGCCCCTGAGATACGAAATTTAGGGAAAAGGCCTTCAGGCCACTTAAAACAGGACTTGTGGAAGATTCTTCATGTCAATATCCTCCTTCTAACTCCTAAATAATTCCAGAGTTTCGACCCAACTCCGTCCCTTTTATTTACCATTCACTGTGCAACATTTCTTGATTGTTGAACGTAGATTGTTCAATTTTCCAATGAGAGACCATTTGAAATTCAAGGCAAAAAAGGTTTCTTTGGTGAACTTAAGTCTTGAATTCCCTGAGCTAATGGTGATAATTTAACATATAAAATACTCTACTAAAATAGCTTCTCTTGGCTGATAGTGACAAACTCAGGTCAGGAAAACTTTCAGTACCACAGTTTATGATTCTGAACACTGTATTTTTATGAATGTCAGTCATTTCAATTTTATCTTATAAACCATTCTATATGAAACATTTTTTTCTGTCCACAGGTCTAGATTGCTGGTAACACACACGAGCATGAGACACAAAGCTCCTCACGAAAAGTGCCCTGGCGTCTCCTGGGCTCCCCTCAGACAGTTAGCGGTCACATTTCACTGCTCTCTTCATCTAAGAAACCTGCCCCCACTCATTTTATTTGAACTTTTTGAGTTATCTAGATATCTAACAATATAAAAGGACATCATTTTAAGTAGCAATGGCCCAAACGGTAGTTAGTCCACTTGTAATCACTGATTACATATTCCCTATTCACTCAGCTGGAAAACCAGAAAATTACCCACAAATCCACAAAATCCAAACAAGTGAAACATTATAAACCTCTGAACCAATACGTACGTGATGAGGTCACCCCGACACAGAACAGTTTTCTCCCCTCTCTTTGAGGATGACAGCATTTTCTCCTATTCTGAACCTGCTCCTGATGTCAAGAAGGTCAAGGACCGAGAGCTTTCTGCGCCCAGAACGACTGTGGGAGCAGGAGGAACTCGCCTCCTTGACTAGAGGTAAAGTTCGTGACTAGACTGTCAGAGGCGGCCGCAGAGATTTGAGAGGCTCAGCCCCAGGAGAAAAAGAGGGGGCAGGTTCCTAGAGCAGCGGAGACTCCTTCTGGTCTCAGGAGCGGACACCTTCCCCCAGGATGTGGGGTTAGAGGGGAATCGGCGGCAACACGTGTTCCCACGCGCCCGGCAGGCAAAGGACGCCTGGGAGTCCTCTGGCTGTCACAGCAGAGCTCACTCACGCCCGGACTTGTTGAGCTCGGATGAGAGATCTGGACACTTGAAGCTTATCCGTTTCCATGTTTTGTATTTGTCTTCTTTTCTCTTAGTTTCCTAAGAAGGGTGTTGGGAAAAGCTCTGAGCTTAGGGGAGCAACCAGAATCAGAGCGGCAGAGGCCCAGGCCTGAAGTAGCTCCAGGGTAGGACCCGCAGGCCCACTGATCCAGAAAATCTGTGGATGCGGGCGAGCCCCTGGGGACGTAGGGACGGCAGCAGGCTGCGGGGAGCCTGGCCTGGGGGGTTTCCCTGAGTAAATACCGTGATCCAGTGACATCAGGAGGAATGCTGCATTTCCTCCTAAGGACAGGGATAGCCGGGACATGCAGTTAAACAGGGACACGCAGCCCCTGCTTGCAGCCTCAATCAGCTCCTCGTCTGACTGAGCAGGGGGCGCACATCGGAAGTGCCCGCAGTGTCCTGGGCCATAATTCTCCCGAGCTGTGGCTTCCTGTCCTCTCCTTACAAGGGAGCACCTTGTAGATCAGGCTCTTAGCTTTGTGAGAGCAAAGGCTGAATCTCGCAGTACCAGGGTTCAAGTGCTGCTGAGAAGTTGTGTGTGAGAGGAGATGCCCAGGGCTGGGGGCACAGGTGAGGAACGTGTGCAAGGGTCAGGCTTAGCTTGTGAACAACTGCATCCTTGGGGCACTGTTATCTGAGCTCCTTGCCACAATTTCTTAGTTCTAGATATCTTTTACTCGTGCAGGAGGCCCACTGCTTATGGATCCTACTCTGATCCACTCTTACACTCAGACCTCTTTCCCCTAACTTCCAGCTTCACCTCCAGGCAAAGAGTGGCCTGTGGGACAAACCAATGGAGTTATGAGGAAAGGTTTCCTCTTTCTCATTTTATCACGTTGTTCACCATCCACTTTGGCCTCATGATCAAACTCTACCGCTTAACATCTTAACATACAGTGGATTTTCCAAGTAAGGTGTTTCTTGTGACCTTCCTTCCACCCATCACAGTTTTGGCAAAAATTAATCTTAAAAAATGCTCAAAATGAAAAGAAAACAGAAGCAGCCTTTCAATGTGTTCCCCAGCCCCAAAGCAACCTCATCCAACTGAGTGGGTTGTTTGAGGCATAAAGGTAAGGATTTTTCACTTGAGCTTAAATAGTGGTTAAAAGAATTGTTGAAAATATTAGTATTCTAGTAATACCTCAAGGACCCGAGCATCACGTGGGTCTATAGCCCCAGCTGTGGTACTCTGTTGCCAGGTTTGAGACTCCATCATTTTTGGGGGGAATGTGGAGGTGCAGGAAGAATTCCTGGGTTTTTTTTTCCTTCAGTATTTTGTGGACGAGAAAATATTCCAGAGAAACAACCCAGAGTCTCAGAATGAAGACAACATATTTTTCAAACAACCAATTTACAGTCACCAAATTAAAAACACAGACACTTAAGATTTCTGCTGTCAGAACTGTCCAGTAAAGTGAGAATTTAACAGGATAAGCGCCAGTTCCTTGCTAAAGCCAAACTTTTAACACCTTAAAAGACAGAATATTTTGACATGATTTAATAGTTAACCTCGTCAAAAAGAAAGGAACACAAACATTCATGGGAACTTGGATATCGCTCAACGTCAACGCTTAGGCAGGAGGCCACAAAAAATATGGCACCTGCTACGGTCTGATCGTTTCCGTCCCCACAAAACTCCTATGTTGAAAACAAATGCCCGATGTGATGGTATTAGGAGGTGGGGCCTGTGGGAGGTGCTTAGGTCACGAGGGTGGAGCCCCATCAATGGGATCAGTGCCCTTATAAGAGACCCCAGAGAGCTGCCTTGCTTTGTCTACTGCGTGCGCCCTCTAGGAAATGGGCCTTCACCAGACCCCAAATCTGCCAGCACCTTGACCTTGGACTTCCCATTTTCCAGAACAGTGAGAAATAGACGTTTGTTGTTTATCAGCTACTCAGTTTATGGTATTTTGTTATAGTGGCCCGAACACACAGAGAGAGCCCATATCCAGAGCCTGTGTCCTGCCTGCCTCAGTCCAGGGCTTTACGTGGCTGACCAGTTGACTGGATCCACGTTACATTAAGGCCCACCTGACTTATCACAGACTCTCTGCCTTAAAGAGGGGCAGCTGTAGACGGTGGGACACACTTGTGTCCTGAGGATGAGGCGCTATCGTCCTACAGAGATACCTGGGTCTCAATATGATGCTTGCATTCTTCTCCTGTCACCTGCTATCGCTCTACATCAGGGCACAACTAGATGAAAGACTCCTTCCGCTCCTCCCCAGGGCAGGGCAGCAAGGCTATTTTTGGAAAGACACTTACATCACCACTCCAGTTCCTTTCTGTTACAATCCTCTTGTAGGAGGGCCTCAGAGCACAGGACCGCAGGCCCTTTTCTAGAACCTTGGACCAGATGTGTTTGGAATTCAAAATTGTTTCAGATATGGTGTCCAGAGCATATATTACACAAACTTCTAGTGCGATTTGAGCCAGCACCTTATAGTCAGATATATTAATATTTCTGCAGTGAAATGTATGAATTTTCACAATAAAGACAGACTGCAAATAGCCTCAAATCAGTTCAGGGTAAGCTTTGCCATCAAATGAGTTTTGGGGTCAAATTTGCAAAAGAACTTTCAGTTTTCTGGGCATTTGGGATTTTGAAATTCAGGGTAAGAGAGTATAGACCTGTATTTAGGGCAAATTTATGCTTGTTAAGAAAACAAAGTCTATTGGTGCTGAGAGAAAGAAGAGACGGGATCTATTACAAATATCCTAAGGGGGATTTCAAAGGGATCTTTCAGACACAGAATTTACTATGTTAAATAGGATTTAAGGTAAGTGGGTTGTCCTTGTTCCTGGGCTTCTGTCATATGATCTTGCCACATTCTGTCCCCCAGGGCGAGTCTGTGACGGGTGCTGTTGTCATGGAATCTGAGTTGCCTCGCTGTTCTGCAGGGAAAGGGCCCCGAAATGGGCAGACCTAACCGCTCTGAGACTCACAGGAACATTCCTAGACTAGAATAAAACCTCAACAAGGCAAGAGTGTTGGAGCCAATTGGCAGGCATGCACTATGACTCCATAATAAAGTAATTACACAGTTGGGTTTTTTTAAGGATATAAAAACCAAAAAAATTGCTTTTCTCCTTAACATAAGGAAAAATTCTCTTTAAAGCCCTAATCTTTGAAGTTTTAAAGGTGGGACTGGGAAGATTATCATCTGGGTTGTTGTGCTAGGGGTTATATACCAGGGAGAGGATACACTGTCCTCGGCATGAGGGGTGGTCGCCAGTGGAGAGACATACGGAGAGAGAGGCTTACTTGGCTTCCAGGGCCAGTGCAATGATGCCCGCAGCCATGGGGGCTGAGGCCGATGTCCCAGTGTGGTTGTCCGTGCAGCGCTGCCTCAGGTCCGTAGTGATCTAGAAGACAGAAGGGAAAAATTTAGGGCTCTGGGGCCAATGTGGGTCCCATGCAAGTAGAAAGAAATTTACTCATAAAAGTGGAATGGAGGGGTGTTGAAATAGTTGTTTTAAATTCCTTGTTCCTGCCCTCCTGTGACCATATCATTTCCAGTGAATCGCCTGTGTAAACCAACTGTGAAAAGGGAAGGGTTTGGAAACGGGTCTCCACTTCTGTTAAACCAGGGTCAGGACTAGGGGGAGTCTTTGGCTCAAAACATAAGGGTCGTGGACGTGCCTGCTCAGATTTTACACCCGAGGCACTTCACTTGCCTCCCCAGTCCCAGCTCTAGTGAAAACTAAAGTTCTTTCATCAGCCGCCCATTGTTAATAATCAGACACGGAGCCCGGCGTCGGAAGCGTGAGGAATAAAAGCACACGGTCCGGCCCCCGCCCTCCCACAACTGTCACCTTGGGGGAGCTGCAAGTTTTAAGCAAAAGGGATGACCTGCCGTGGAAGGGACATTTGCTTACAGACTTGTTTTTAGAACTCACAGGAACGCTGCATGGACGAACGGAGACCTCCTCAAAGATCTAAAACTGATACGAAAAACGAGTGGAACCCGCACGCTTGATAGGAGATTTCAGCTCCAAGTGCGCGCCTGTACGTTATCGGCGGAGATTAGCCACGTCTCCTTTTTTTAAATCAAAAGGTGAGAACTAGATCACTTTTCCTCTGGGTTTGAATCCAGTTCCCGTCAGCGAGGGCAGCGGTTCTCAGCCCCTGTTTCATGATCGTTTCACTAAGGAAAAACAAGTAAATTCCGATTCTCCTTAACAAGAGGAATCAAACACTATGGGGTAAGATTTTGCAAACCTCGTAAAACCTAAGATTTTTTCAATCCTCTCTCCCCGACAAGCGTCCACTTTTGCCTCCTTGGGCTCATCACCCCGTTGGGAATGCACAGGGCTCGTAAGATGAGCTGCTGCTCTCGCTGCAGTTACTGGAAGACGCTGGAAAGCTGTCTTTGTCACCAAGACAAATGCATTACCCACATTCACAGATAAGAAAACTGAGGCGAAAGGTCATTAGAAAGGTGTGGAGGGATAACGGCGGCGGCTGAAAAGAAAGGCCCCTAATTCTAAGACGCAGCCTTCTAGGGGAGCGTGAAGATTAGTGGATTTGGAAAGAAACGTGCTCTTCCCAGGAGAAAGTGCTGCCCAGCTCCTCAGAAGGCATCCCTCCGTCAGGTCTCCCCAGCGTCTCAGGAGGGTGGCTGAGGGGCTCTTAATCTGGTCGGGATCTAGACTGACGTCCTGCTGAGTCGGTTTCACACAAGCCCAACAGGTCTCATCGTCTTTTCGTTCTTTTTGACACCTCTAATGTGACCAGATTATCCACACCGGAGAGGTACTGATACGCCAGTGGGAGAAGGAACAAAAATATACAGAACCACACAGATCCGGTGGTGGCAGAGAGGAGACAAGTCTCACACTCCTTTCCTGAATATGAATGGTTTGCAGGAGCCCTGAGAGCGCGTTTGGCAAGCAGGGGCGGTTATGTCTCGATTCACAGACTTGATGCCCTAGCCATCTTCCGCACCTCCACGCTGGGTGCTCGCAAGGTGTCTGCGTAAACACAGCCTGAACCACTTCTACGTTAGGAAACTTTCTGGATTGTCAACTGTCTACTTTAAAAGCTACTTCTTTTTTTTATTGTGGTAAAAAAACACGTAACACAAATTTACTCTTTTAACAACTTTTAAGTGTACAGTATTGTTAACTGTATGCACATTGCTGTACAATAAATCTCTAGAACGTTTTTATCTTTCATGACTGAAACTCTACCCATCAAACAACTCCTCACCCCCGCCCCCAGCCCCTGGTAACCACTATTCTACTTCCTGCCTCTATGAGCCTGACTACTCTACGTACCTCATGTAAATGGAAATATATGGTACCTGTCTTTTTTTTGTGACTGGCTTATTTCACTTAGAATAACATCCTCAAGGCTCATTTATGTTCTGGCATAGGGCAGGATTTCCTTCTTTTTAGGCTGCATAATATTCCATTGTGTCTATCTACCACATTTTCTTTATTCATCCACCCATCAGTGGATATTTGGGTTGCTTCCACCTCTTGGCTATAGTGAATAATACTGTAATGAGCATGGATGTGCAAATAGCTTTTCCAAATCCTGTTCTCAATTCCTTTGGATATACACCCAGAAGTGAGACTGCTGCGTCATTAAAAAGGTGTTTCTACCTCATTTGAAATTACGAGTGAATCTGCAGCCTTATTTTCCAAAGGCCTGATCCCTAAGTCAATGCAGAAACACCCCAGAAGCGGCCTGTTTCCGGGTCTCCGGATGCGCTGTTGCTGAGCGATGGCCTTGCCTGCATTCTTCTCATTCTACCTCACCCTCATGCTCACGCGCCTTTGCCAAGTTTTACTTTTTTCAATGACTTGTGCCGGATTCAAGATTTTTCATGATGTTTCCCACTTGGCTCACTGTGTTTATTCTTCAGCTGCACCAGACACTTTCAATGCACAGAAACAAATCCAGAATAAACACTCCAAGTGTGGGTAGCATTTTTGAGTCTCATAAACAACCACCTCCGGCCAACCTCAAACATGAACAATAAAAATTTTATGATGTCAGGTTTGTAACAGGAACATGCCCCACCCATACACAGTCCCCAGGTATATACATATATATTATATGCCTAAGTAAGAAGCTACTCAGTACTTTTATATATAAACAACAGTGAAGCGTTACTGCTATGCATATAGGTAAGCTTGTGCAACTTCAAATCAGCATTGTGCCTTTGTTTGTTTTTTCAATCCCTTTAACTAAATGGAACTTGAGTCCTAGTCAGTAGGGGAGGAAAGGGAGTGAGCAGGAAGGTGATGGAGAGAAAGAGGCAAAAACATCCTCACCCCTTCTCATCCTGCTTGAAGTGGAAACTCCAGCTGGGACATTTCAAGGGCAAGTTACTGTAGGTGTGGAAATATTTAGGTGTAAATTACCAGAAAGATCTGAGGTAGGGTTTTCATTATTAAGAGAAGCCACAGTATCACAGAATCTTACGTCTATCTTTAGGAAGAAAAGGCAAAGACCACCAAGGAGCATGCAATCTTGAAGAAAAATGATGTTCCGAAAACTGGAACCACGTGGAGTAACCCCATTAATCACAACACATGCATATGAGATCTGACACTGCAATTTAAAGGAAAAGGTGGATTCAACAATCGGCCCACATTATGGGGCAGGGAGTCCAGAGATTCCAGAATAAAGCACTTTAAGTTTAGAATCTATTTTAAAGAACGTCTCAGAATTTGGTTTCAATCCCGATGGCACATCTTTCATGCTCCAAATCCCCTCAATTCACTACGCAAATCAGAAACAGAGTTTTTCTTCACAGGACTTCTTAGACTGCTCAAAAAAATATCATTTCTATCCATCAGTGAAGAAAACAGGAGATGACACCAGGCCCTGAGCCAGATCAAAGCTGTCCTGATCAGCAAATTAGATTTTCAGCCTGTCTCAGGATGAGGAGCAGATGGGGTTTTTGGACTCCATCAAGTTAGGGATGCCATCTTCCTTTGAGGAGAAGGGGTGGGTACTGTTCAGGTCCAGTCAGGCTTCCCTGGAGAAGACCCATCATTTTTTCCCGTCCTAAGCTCTTATTTCCTCATGTTTCACATTCCATGACTTGAGCGGACTGGATCCTTTATTCTAGCTGTTGATGGAATTCTCCAGGGATCTCGGCTCAGATCGACTTTGGCCATAAGGACAAGCCTTCACAGCAAGCCCACGGTTAAGAGTTTCTGTCTCTCTGGGATCTTGTAAGCTGTTTTATTTTGAAGATGCCATATTCTCTCATATCTGTTAAAAGAGCAACTGAGCAGATATTTTTAAAACATGAAATGATTCCACTGTCTGTTAGGTTGAATTTGTTTTTCGTGTTGGTTTTGATTTGAATTAGAAATGTGCCAAAAAAGCTGTTTCAGACACAGCTATGGGGGATAAGGGCAGAAACTACATCTTAACTGTGTCAATGAATAAAACAGAAGAAGTGGATTTATTAAGCATGGCAAAATAAAAAGGAACCGGGGACCAATCAATGTTTTCTGTGTTCAGGAAGTCACAAAGACTGGTGTAAAATCCAATCATGACTGACGAGACCACGCAAAATTCCCCTCCCACGCTGCTCCGAGGATCTGTGAGTGTGGAGAGCAAACGTGAGGTTTTGCTTACAAACGTGAGGCTGCTCTCACCAAAGAAGGGCCCCATCTTCTATCATTTCTGCATCTCCAGAAGTTCAGCTCAGAGCTGGGTACAGAGCAGAGGCACAGTGTTTATTTGCTCAGTTGAACTGCTAACATCAGGTTCCTTCATACTCACTTTGTTCTCTCCTTTAAACTCTCTCACTTATTAGGAAGGACTTCCAGGTCACTTCTTGACTGACTCTCCAAACAAAACTCAAGTAAACTTCTAGGTGACCTACAGAAATTCTGTGTGTACGTGTAGATCTACACTCCAGGGGCTAAAGGACAGCTGCTCCTCTCTCAGCTACTATTGCTGCCACCAGCTGCTCTGCTTCTAGAACCACCACCACGAGCAACTTGCTGCGAGTGAGCAACGTGCAACAGGTGTGTATGTGTGCATGCTCACGTGTGTGTACAAATTACATTTAAATCCGTGTACAAGGAAGATACACTATTTATTAAGGAAATGGAGGCTCAGAGACTAACTTGCCCAAGGACAAGCAGCCACTAAGAGCTGGTAAGTGGTCAAGCATTAAATCCTGAAATGGCAGCAAAAGAAAAAGCTGAGTTACAGCGTGTGGTCACCCGTGAGGACAAACACCACCACGAGCACCGACGGCAGAACTGCCTTGAGATCCAGCCCAAGTCAGCAAGTGGGCATCGGGCTTCTCCTTCAGGCCACATCAACATCAGAACTCTGCAGGAACAAACTTTCCTCCCCTCCTTTTAATATTCTCAAGAGAATATGT